GTTATAAACTTTAATATCTGTAATAAGATTATAAATATTAGGGAAATTGTTTCATATTAACTCACAAGCACATTTCTATCATCATTTTTTAAATGTGTACAAAACGCTCAACAGGAACAGTTAAAGTCACCAGTTTTTCTAAGTACATATTTTCTAATTGTCCTTTATCTCTCAAACATATATTGAAAATTGAATTGAAATTAGGATCCAGTATGAGCCAAAGTTTCCAATCACGCTGGGAGCCCCGCAATCTCTTTCTCCTCACTTGAGCTCATTTCTCCACTAATGACTTTGCCCTCTGATGCAAGCCAAGGGATCATCAAAGGTCCTTGAAACAAAAAGGGAAATATAGCAATTACTGGGACTTTCATCGGCAAGAAAGAGATTAAAAACCCCGTGGTTGTATAAGAGCCGGAGAGGCAGAACCCGAGATCTGTTTCTCTTGCAAACGTATATTAATTCACTTCATGGCAGACATTATGCATCAACACGTTCTTCCCTTTTTTCCACCGCCTTCATTCAGAATTTTTTTTCACGCGCGATAATAGAATCAAATTTATTATGTATTGCTAATCACACAATAAAAGCCTCTGGTGGTAATTCATGTAGATTCCAAAATGCTGCGTGTGAACAGGAAAAGTCATTGGCTTTTTAACATTGGCCTGAGGGAAAGGAGTTGTCCCTTAGCCTCTATAACCATTGACACAAAAGGTCCCCAAACAATTTCAAATTACTGCTTTATTTCTCTCTCTTATATAATCCACCCACATTATTAAATCTCCCACCTTCTGGGACTTTACTGATACAATAATATTACAGAGCTAAGATGTTTACATTCGAGACTGCCAGCTTTTCTTGTTATAAACATGTATGCCCCCAGGACTTGTGCAGTACGTATGCATACTACTTGGCCTAAATGAGGCACAGGTCATTTTGTTTTTAAGAGGGGTCAAAATTACCACAAACGAGAGGCCGAGGCCGACGCCAGAACCTGACTGAGCAGAAAATGGCTCCTTGATACTCACAGATGAGATCTATTATATATTAAACATGCTTGTAAATATTCACTAGTTGGAGCATTCAAATGGAAAATATGGTTTAGGTCAAAGGTCTATGAAAATGTTGTCTCCAGAGGGAGTCCCTGTAGGATAGAGGCAGTGAAGATAACAGGGAGAAACACCCATAGGGGACTGGGGAGAACATTAAGAGTTGTTTTACATGTTTGACTGTGCTAAAGCGATGGTACCAGGGAGATAAATGATGGGCACTTATTAGACTGGACTGACCTGGAGTTATATGCCATGTTTAATGGAATGTAACACCCCCATCAATTATACAGCCCAGCAGAATCGGGATGAGTGATTGACTTTAAAGTTTTCTTATAAAGGTCTGTTCAAGCATTTCCTTAGCGTCAAAATTCAGGCGTTTTCTCCCCAAACACAACAAAACCTGTTGAGATCCGAGCAAAGGAAAATAAAAAACATTACAGTTTTATTATTTCCTCAATGTCAGGATCACGTGGTTGGAAAATTATTTCATCATGTCCAACAGTGGAACTTAGGTGTTATCTTCTATTTTTGGTCCCCCTTCGCCGTATATTTCAGGGGCTGGGAACAATGTAGTCTGACAGACATATTCTTTATGAGGGGCTCGTGGTCTCTCTAATTTGACACAGTTGTCAGAGATAAAGCTCCTCAGAGAGTGTGGCCATGCTCAGGGTAAGAATGGGGATTAAATTAACACCCCCCACCTCCACATCCTCTGACCCCAATACCGGAGAATAAAACATACGCGGCGACTCACTTCAACACCCAATATTTGCTCTCCAACTTCATCTGCGAGCGTGGCGTGGTTTTGTTGCTAAGTGAAATATTGTTATGCTTTATTCACAGATAGCTTTGGAAAATGACAGAGCAAGGGTTAAGGAGGTTCTTAAATATGCAACAAAACAAGACTTGTGCATAAAACTGATTGTTTTTAATAAAAGAAAATAAAGCATCCTGCCAATAAGAGTAACCAGTGAAAGGAAACAGCCCGCCCAGTGAAACAATGCACCCCCTATCCTGAGTAGCCCACTATCAAATGACCCAAGCGCGTAAAATCAAATCAACACTGGAATGGATCATATCAAATTCTAATGAAAACATAATGTGCTCTTAAAACGTGTGTTGGCCCGGCAGCCAGTCATCCAGAGAATCTTCCCCAGATGACGTGATGAATAGGGAACACCGTTGGAATATGCATCAAAGTCGAGCTCATGATTTATGTAATAGCAGTCACTTGGACACTGATTAGCTGCTCTGTCAAGCGTGTAATACGCGAGGCACAACCCCTGGTTTATCAGTCATTTATCTGAAGTGCGTCCTGATATTATCACTGGATCCTAATGCCATCATTATGCCGCACAGCATGTGCGGGCCAGTGTGTCATGGTGGCGGCGACACTGCCTGTCAGGAGTTCAAGCCTCTTCATTTGCAAAACGCTCAGACATTCATAGCGCCGCGTCAACAGTAAAATAGAGAAGCCACATCGTATCAGAGATGGAGGGACAGGAGCACACAGGCGCGTTAAACAAGTGGACACTTGAGGGTGCAGAGACGTTTCTGCCACATCTTTGTGGTTGTGGAGGAGCTTACGCGGCGATCAGGCTAATTCTTTTGAGAGGAGTGGAAGTATAAAAGTAAAAATGACTAATTGAAAGGTCATTTATTTATTTCATCCTGAGATCAGTTTGATTTAGAAAAGCAGACAGAAGATTTTTATACTCTGATTAAAGCCCCCAAACCTCCTCAATGTGCAGTGTGAGGCCCACAGGGCTTCTTTTTTTTTTTGCTGATTAAAATGCACACTCACACACACCACTGTGTGAGAGGATGGCGGTTGTTCTGTCTGTCAGGACGTTCATGCTCTCCAAGAGACTATCTGATATCATAAATGACTTCAACTCCTCCCACGCTAACACGAGAGTGAACACAGGAAGAAAGACGGGCAGATGACAATCGCACATCACCGGATGCACAAAACTCCTAATAAACAAGCCTTGTTCATTATGGTTTCAAATATTTTACAAAAGAGAGAAATAGGGTTGTTATTCTGGCAAACATCTGGCAGTGTGCTCTAAGAGGAAGCTGTGCAACATATAAATCTATCGACACCTCGCACAAACAAAAATAGAGAGGGAAGCTGAACAGGAAAAGGAGATCTTTGAGTCCTAAACAAAAGATATCAGCCCTGCTGCCGGCACAGACAGGGCACCACACCTTGGCAGTGATACCACTCACAATCAAAGGAACAGTTGTCATCAATGGAGACGTGTTTTTAAAGGATATCTAAAAAGATTAAAAATATGTGTCGTTATGGAAAACAATCGAGTGTACAGAGATTTTTTTATGTCACTCACACGCACCGGAGGCCATTCGCTGGCTAAACTCTTTCCTGTTTTGAAAAATAAATCTTTTACTGATACATTTTTTTTACAAACACTAAAAATGCGGGTTGTGTTGATTTAAATTTTCATGCAATTTTAGAAAAAAAAACCACAGGAAACATTTTATTGAGATAATTGTTTTTAATTAAATGCAATATAACAATATTTATATATATTTTTTTTATCGTGTGGGATTTATAGATGCACATATGATAAAAGTAGCCAGTGAATGCAGCATTGTAATGGCTTCAAACAGTGTGGCTCCAAAGATCCAGCAGAGGGGGCTGCTTACTGCAATCATATGCTGATTAATTGAGCTTGATTCTCCCCATGCTGCGAACATAAGTTGTCCCAGGCACACTGTAGGCTACATGTTGGTATGTGGATAAAGGTTACAAGCCTTCATGGAAGTCACCTTTTACCACAGATAGCCTCTCACATCATTTCTGGTAAATGTTAGAAAAGCACTGATTTCCTGATTATCCCTCATCAAGCCTTTATCAAACTAGGTTATGTTCATTTTTATTAATTGTGCATGTTCCTCTAATTAGCTAATGAGAGACAAAAAGCAGGTTTAGAGAAGAAAAATGCAAATGACTCTTAGAAAATAGCACAAAAAAAGTAAATGGCAAGGCTGAGAATCATCCTTCATTGAAATGTCAGAGATAAATGGCTCAAATGTCACATCAATTAAAACGGGGGACAGTTAGTAGTTCATTAAAGAGAGAGCCATATTGCACCGTCGGGTACCGTTGCCAACCCTTACTATCTGGGGCAGACTGGCAGCGGGTCCAGATGGCATGGAAATCCTCACAGATTTCAAAATGGTCTCTGCAGGGGTGGCGTTTTCTCCCCCCGCTCCCACTCTCACCGCTGAGATGGGGTGTGGGCCACAGGCCCATGCCGGCCTACACATTCCAAACGGAGGCATGCAGAGAGCTGAAGGCTTCACAGAAATAAAAAATAATGCTGCAGAGGACAACAGACACTTAGAAAAAAGATGACTGATGCCACACACTTTGTCATAATTATTGAAATTTATGCTTCAGCTTAATCTAATACTGCTTCAGGCAACAAAATCCAGCTTCCTTTCTCTCTGACGGTATAAAATTCTGATAAAAAAGACTTAGTAGTGTGCCATGTATTGTTCATAATAAAACGTTGACTTTATTAGTTGGTAATGCATAATATGTGATTGGTTGTTGCAGTCACATACGCATTCTTTTTCTCCACAAACATTATTCCTAGGACCCTAAAGACCTTAATAAGAGGCCGTCTGGAGAGACAAACCTGGATAAATGTCTCAGAAACAAGCAGAATGTTCAGTGTTTGAAATTAATGCTCAAAATATGCATTTTTACATTGTCCTGCTGTATAAACATCAGGCGAATCAAACACATAAATCACTATCATTACGTGTCTTCAGCGTACTGGGGAGCCCCAGAAGTACCCCCCAAATCCCAACTTGAGACCTATTAGAGAAGTGTTCTATTATGACCGTCCCTGGCAGGAGGGAGGGACGTAGACTTTCAACCTACCAATCACAGTGGAGGAGCGGACTTTTAGGAGTCGTGATTGGTCGGTTTGTCCACGCGCCCGAGGAAACAGGAAGGGTTGTCTAGTTCTGCCAGAGGAGAGAAGATTTTACTGAAACCGTCACGTCTGTAAGCCACAAGACTAAATTACACTGTCAAACGTGTTTATGGAAGGCTGATGAACAACACAGCTCACAAAATATCCTTAATAGTTGAAGTTATGTTTAATAATAAACGCCAACATCTTTCATTTTCGGTTTTTGGGACATATGTTCCGTGTGTTTAGGCATTCGTTTTCTCCTGAATTTTTACCCGCAGCGGCACATGTTGCTTTTTCACACCTGCGCAGACACGGCGGAGCTTTCTGCTCAATTAATCACGCAGGTTTGACCAGGAACTAGTCTAATGAGAAACCAGTCAAATGATTGACGAGCATGAGGAGGCTGCCAGCGATTTTTAACAACACAAGCTGCTTGTTTGTTATTCCTCACCGTGAAGAGCAGGGTAAACATCAAGGATTCAGGCTGACACTAAACACTAGACTGGTGGTGCACCGCGCCGAAAACGGCAGAAAACCAACACGAGAGCATTATTTTTTAATCAGCACAGACGATTAGCGAAGGCCATTATTGCCAAAGTCCATTATTCTATCTACGAGTCTATTACCAGGCTGCTAAATGGCGGACAGTGTGTCCAAAGCTTATCCAAAGTGCACTGTACCATTGTTTGGCTCTGAATTTCCTCGCCTTTATTGTCAGTTCAGGCAAACCCCTGATGAATACAGTGAGAGCCGCAAGAGTGGAAACAAGAAAGTTGAGGCAGACGCATTTGTGATCACATACCATGACAGATGTGGTGGTGGTTTGTGCAAGAAGGGGGGTGGAGTAAGGGGTGATGGTAAAAAAAAATCAAAGACTTCCTGTTTTAAATTAAAAGTCCAGATTAAAATAAACACAAATCACTGTTTTTATGGGGCCTTCGCATGTTTATCCTCATGTTTTTATTGTTATCAAACAGTATTTGTGATAACAATTAATCAAATTGTTCAACATATCTGTCAGAATCTCCTGAAGCTCAAACTTACAGCTCCCAGTTGCTTTTGCTGTCTGACTAACAGAGCGTAGCTTCCCAAAATTCAGTTTACTGTCCCCTAAGACAGAGAAGATTAGAAAAACAGTCCCATTTGAGGAGTTAGAACTAGGAATTTCATGAGAGTATTGTTTTTTCTTTCGTTGAGAAAATAGAAGTATTAATTTTCACAACAGTTGCTCATTGCAACATTGATTCTTTATCTTTGTTTTAGTTCGGCATATGCTTTTGATTAAATGGGTAGTTAAGGCAATTGCAAGTAATGATTAAAAGTTTGTTTGAAATTCCTAGAATGAAGTGCAAATTTTACAAATATTATATGAAGTCAAAATGCTAGAAAATCTTTTATTCGTCCATCATTATCTGCCCATTTTCTTTAAGATTTGATCCTCAATCCATCTAAGATTGAATATTTTTTATGCCTTATTTTTAAATGATCACAAAAACATTGACTTGTCATTCAAAAAGTGTTTCAGAATGTGAATTTGATTCAATTAAAATAAGAAAAGGGGTCAAAAAGGACAGATCTTCAGTTGATACAATTACAATATAGTCAAATGATTTCTGAATGCTTATTATGTGTTTGACGAGGTTATAAAATCTGACTGAAATAGTTTTTGTACCATGCATACTCTTCAGATTGAGGTTGTGTGAATTAAAGGATTTCTTGCCTGAAACTTACAGTCAATGTGACCTTTATTTATTATAACCCCCATCGCTCAAAAACTCACATATAACATAGTCAATCATCTCTTGGTCCCTCAAAGTAAAAATAAAAAAGGAACTGCTGTCTGGTTATTGCCAGTATCCATCTCAGTCGTCAGAAAAGCTGCACGTTTTTGCTGTTGTTAAGGCCTGGAAACCAGAATCCCATTGGAGTTGCACCCTAAGGAACAAATTTAATGCTAGAAAAACATCCCGGCCATCAACCAAAAATGACGGATTGAAAATAATGCCGAGCTATCTTGGGAATCCCCCACCAGACAAGGGAACAGACTGCATTGTTTTTCTCATTTATGTGATATATAGAACAGAAAGAGGGGAAAAAATGGGCGATTTATTGGTTAGATAGGCGTATTCTCTCACATGCACAAAAGAAATATTTGAGAGTAATGTAGGGATCAAGTCGCATCATGACATTGTTGGGAGGCTTGGTGTTCAGATGTGTAAGTTATCTTCAGTTGGTGACCCGCTCAGTTTTCAATAGATCATTCAATGCAAATGTGTGTGGGAAATTGAAAAAGTTGCCTTACAAATATGTCAATAAACACGGTGTAATTTGTACTTCCTCAGCAGGGCAGCGGGATGAAGAAGCAAAGAGAGAGCCAATGCACTCAGAAGACCATCTCATTGCTGAGCCCCCTGGGGACCATCCAAGTCAGTGGATGTGAGAATGGTGTGCACACCATCCAGATCCTAATGGATGTCGCACCTGCTGAAAGGTACTGTACAACAGCCGGGCTGGTGACGTGATAAACAAAGGTGTGAAATTTACAGGCAGACAGAATCCACTCCTGTGATGGAGTGCCACCATTCCTCATTGGAAGCAGGGCATTTTTGTAGATCCCACAAGAAATATCCTGGAGAAAGTTGGGCAAATATGAGCAGGCACTAGAAATATGAGGGGCACTAGAATACAGTTGGGCTCGAAATTAGATTTCTGATGGCATGTGGTTGTGATTCCTGCTGCAGTATATTTGAAATTTCAGAAAAATAACTTGTTTATTACCCTCAAGGGAGTTGATTAGAAATGATGTCTGGGAGGTCAGCTAAGGCCACTGGGAACACGGACGGTTCTCTCCTGCTTTTTTATGTTTCCTTCAGGTATGCTGTAGTTTAGAGTGTCAACTGACATGAGGAAATGTAATATGTGGTTGCGTTTTGTAGCCTGTCCATCCCTCAAAATTGTCAGAATGTAGACAGTCCTACTGAAGCGGCTGAAACTGATTAAATTCTGCGTTAATAAGCACTTATTCCTCCGTTTTAAAAGGTCCAGATCCTACATCTCAAATTAGTTTTGATTAGATTGAAATTAAATATCCATGTGTCGCAGATTCACATTTGATAAACTTGAATGATTTGGGAAATTAAACCATTTCAAATGCATCCGGTTAAGAAGTTATCCCTTTCCAAATGTACGTTTAAATTCTAATTTATGGAAACCCATTAATGACCTTGTAAATTATACCTCAACACATGTTTCCTCCTCGACTGTCTGCTAGTTCCTAAAATTCATCAACCAGTAAAAACATTCCACTTGTTGTTAATGAGTTGAAGTGAGGAAATTAATAATATGGAATTTTGATTATGGAAGATGTCCTGTAACCATGCGCAGGCACCTTTTTTCGTCTCCCCGCGAACGGGGTTTAATTTGTGTGTTCGGGTTCAGCAGGAATATGCAAATGAATTTAATGATTCGCATCACTGGATCATTTCTCAGTTTAATATCATTTGCTACGTTGGTCATAAGCGGAGTTTGGATCCCATCGCCGTCTGTATGTTCTCTTAAGGTGTGAGCGAGAAATCGTTAGGAAAGTGTTTTGCTTTTATCGCGACAAGCTGAATGTGCTTTTATTGAAGCAGGACAGCAGAACTGGAGCCAACTCAGATAGTGGAGTTTCTCAGTGTAAACAGGCATTAAGGGAGGCGAGATAAAGTGACAAAATACCGGCTTATCTGTGCAACCGGCTTTACATGTAGATCTCACCAAAGCCCGCCTGTAGCTGTAATAGTTCAGATCAGGCATTTCCATTGATTTATTTATGACATACTAAACAAGGCTCTTTCCAGCTTTGGATTTGGTGTGGTGCCGGCTTAGGAAGTCAGTGAGATAAATGATCTCTGAGAGCACATTTTTGGATAAGGGGAGTAGATAACCTCCGTGCATAAAACAGAGCAAAACCTGCAGCAGATATTGGCTCTAAAGCAGTGGTTCTCAACCTGGGGTCCATGACCCCCCAAGATTGTCCCTTTAGGGATAGACTGTGTGTGTGTATATATATGTATATGTATATATATATATATATATATATATATATATATATATATATATATATATATATATATATATATATATATATGTATACATGTATATATATATATGTATATATATATATACATGTATACATGTATACATACATATATATATATATATATATATATATATATATATATATACATATATATATACATGTATACATATATATATATATATATATATGTATACATGTATATATATGTATACATGTATATATATGTATGTATATATATATATATATATAATTATATGTATACATGTATATATATGTATGTATATATATATATATATATATGTATACATGTATATATATATATATATATATATATATATGTATATATATATATATATATATATATATATATATATATATATTTATATATATATATATATATGTATATACACACACACACACACACACACATCTGTTGGCCAATCCTTTTTTTGTATACATTTGCATTGGCTGATATTTGTCCTTATATAAAGTCAGGCGCATCATCGGGCAGCCCGGTGATGTTGCAGAATTTAATTTAGTGTATTTTTACATTCACTAATAACAATAAATTATTTCAAATTAACTTTATTTAAGTGTTTGACTTTAACACTGAGTGGTGCACAAAGAAGACCTCTTATGATGAATTATATAATCAATTTATATTTATACAATCAATTTCCCTCTGGGATTAATAAAGAATTTTTGAATTGAATTGAATTGAATAAATGGAAACCGTGTTCCCTCGCCCGGACGTGGGTCACCGGGGCCCCCCTCTGGAGCCAGGCCTGGAGGTGGGGCACGTTGGCGAGCGCCTGGTGGCCGGGCTTTCACCTATGGAGCCCGGCCGGGCACAGCCCGAAGAGGAAACGTGGGTCCCCCTTCCCATGGGCTCACCACTCGTGGGAGGGGCCAAAGGGGTCGGGTGCAGTGTGTGACGGGTGGTAGTCGAGGACGGGGACCTTGGCGGTCTGATCCTTGGCTACAGAAGCTGGCTCTTGGCACACGGAATGTCACATCTCTGGTGGGGAAGGAGCCTGAGTCGGTGTGTGAGGTTGAGAGGTTCTGACTAGATAAAGTCGGACTCACCTCAATGCATGGCTCTGGTTCTGGAACCAGTTTCCTTGAGAGGGGTTGGACTTTCTACCACTGTGGAGTTGCTCCCACTGAGAGGCGCCGAGCAGGGGTGGGCATACTAGTTGCCCCCCATCTTGGTGCCTGTATGTTGGGGTTTACCCCGGTGAATGAGAGGGTAGCCTCCCTCCGCCTACATGTGGGGAACCGGGTTCTGACTGTGGTCTGTGCTTATGCACCAAACTACAGTTCAGACTACCCACCCTTTTTGGAGACCTTGGAGGGAGGTTGGTGGTGGTGGTGAGTTGGCTTAGATGGTGGGGAAGGATGCCGGTCAGACCAGGCAGGCCCAAACGTATCGTGAGGGTCTGCTGGGAACGTCTGGCAGAGTCTTCTGTCAGAAGGATCTTCAATTGCCACCTCCGACAGAACTTCCAAAATTTTCCGGGGGAGGCTGGGGACATTGAGTCTGAATGGACCCTGTTCCGTGCCTCCACTGTTGAGGCGGCCGACCGGAGCTGTGGTCGCAGGATCGTTGGTGCCTGTCGTGGTGGCAACCCCCGAACCCGCTGGTGGACACCGGCGGTTAGGGATGCTGTCAAGCTGAAGAAAGAGTCCTATCAGGTCTTTTTGGCCTGTGTGACTCAGCTGACGGGTACCGGCAGTCCAAGCGGAACGAGGCTCAGGGGTTTGCCGAGGCAAAAACCCGGAAAAAATCCTGGAGCGTGCGTGGGAATTTGCCCAACCAGTCTACATGTGTGGATTTGGAGAAGGCGTTTGACCGTGTCCCTCGGGGGGCCCTGTGGGGGGTACTCCAGGAGTATGGGATACCAGGCCCTCTGATACGGGCTGTTAGGTCCCTGTATGATCGGTGTCAGAGCTTGGTCCGCATTGCCGGCAGTAAGTCGGGCTCGTTCCCAGTGAGAGTTGGACTCCACCAAGGCTGCCTTTTGTCACCGTTTCTGTTCATAACCTTTATGGACAGGAATTCTAGGCACAGCCAAGGTGTGGAAGGCATCTGTTTTGGTGGCCTGAGGATCAGGTGTCCTCTTTATGCAGTTGATGTGGTCCTGAACGTGATCTTCAGCTTTCGCTGGAGCGGTTCACAGCCAAGTGTGAAGCAGCTGGGATGAGATTCAGCTCCTCTAAATCTGAGACCATGGTCTTGATTCGGAAAAGGGTAGAATGCCTTCTCCGGGTCAGGGACGAGGTCCTGTCCCAAGTGGAGAAGTTTAAGTATCTCAGGGTCTTGTTCACGAGTGAGGGAAAACTGGAGTGTGAGATCGATAGGCGGATTGGTGCTGCATCTGCAGTGATGCGGTCGTTGTACCGGTCTGTCGTGGTGAAGAGAGACCTGAGTCAGAAGGCGAAGCTCTCAATTTACTGGTCGATCTATGTTCCTACCCTCACCTATTGTCATGAGCTTTGGGTAGTGACCGAAAGAACAAGATCGCGATAGAAGCGGCCACATCGAGAGGAACCAGTTGAGGTGGCTCGGGCATCTGGTCAGGATGCCTCCTGGACATCTCCCTGGTGAGGTTTTCCGGGCACGTCCAACCGGGAGGAGACCTAAAGGTAGACCCAGGACACGGTGGTTGGACTATGTCTCTCACCTGGCCAGGGAAAGCCTTGGGATTCCCCCGGAGGAGCTGGCCCAAGTGGCTGGGGAGAGTGAAGTCTGGGCCTCTCGCCTTAGGCTACTGACCCCGCGACCTGACTCTGGATAAGCAGATGAAAATGGAAAAATGGAGTGACAGTATATTTTCCTGGCGATAGGGGGCAGTAAATACCTAAATCATTGTAATTAAGCAGTATTTTTGTGGTCGAGTAAGATCTTACCAACGGATGGCAATTTGGGTAAAAAGTCCCTGGGAGCGCTATTTTCTTACTTGGTCAGATGACAAGCACGTCAGACTCCTTTTCACCACTGGCAACGAGCGAAGAGGTAAATGTGTATAATGTTTATGAATGGCAAAAGTTTTGTAACCCTTTGTAGGGATGTATATAGTTAACCGGTTAATTGCTGTTAATGTAACCTGGTAAAATAATTAGCCTGGTTAACTGCCAGGCTAGCCGGTTAACCTCACATCCTTCTGCTGTGTATGGGTGTCAGGGGTGGACCTTTAAAGCGCCCGAACGCCAATGGCGCTAAATTTTCTTGTTGGGCGGTAAATACTTGACAACTTAACAACCGGGTAGCGCCCAAGCCTTGTTTGTCATTTATACACCGGCTTTCACCTACATCATGGCCGTGCCCTGTAGGAAGCCGCCGTTTTCGTTTCGCGCACGTGAACCTGCGCGCCTCTAGCCACGTACTGCACTTGTACGTGCACGATTCG